ATTCTCCATCTCTGCGAGTACCCTGAATTCTCCATGGGCTCCATCATGAAGGGCAGGTCCAGGGTATGGTCAGATTCCCTCAACATCTTCTTGAAGCCCTCTCATCTTCCGAAAAGGGAATGCTTCACGCTGCTTCACCTGCTTCTGGCGCTAAACTGGGACACCTCTCAGCAACTCCCAAGAAACATCTGTTAGGGAAAATCGTGTGTAAAGCCCTGCAGGTCTGGATTCAAATGCCTTCCTACCCGCGATGCCCATCGCGCCCAGAAACTTTGAAACCTCTGCGATGCCCCGACGACTCACTTTTGGCCTCGAACAAGCGTTGGGATCAGGTGAGAACGGAGACTTAATGATCTGCAACTACTTTGGCAGTTAGAATAAAGAGCAAGGAATGCCCTAGGCACTGAGAGTATAAGGGACCCACAACACTTGACGTGGCCCCGCCCCCAAACTGATCTTCTGGCCTGCTGCAACCGACTTTAAGGACTTTAAGGATGCATCATCTCAGCGAACAACTGACTGGCACCAAAAACCAGTTGAACAACCTGCCAACTCTGATTGACGATCACTGGTTGATGCTTTGGTTGCCGTAACTTTTTATATTGATGATAATAATAATATATTTCACCTCCTATACATACACCAATCTGATCTTTTTTTTTCCATCCTGGCCCAAGATCAGCTAAATCCTCCGAGCTGCTGAGGATGTCTGCCGCCAAATGCCACGCACCTCGGCACCGGTGAGGAAGGAGTCTGTGACGAAGTCACGAAATGAACTCATGCAGCCGTGACCAGTTACATGTTATGTTAGAACGTACTATTAGATTACCAAAAGTTCTAAAGCCTCTCTACGCTGAAAAGAAGACACCTCTACACCTCCCAAAAAAGGAATTCTGTGGTTGCATGATGTTATATGCAATAAAACAGGCCGACTTTTTCGGTAGGCTGATAGTCCTTTTTCAGTGGCTAGAGTCACACTGGCTTGGTGGCTGATTGGGTGGTGGGAGAAGTAGCGATGCCCTTGTTGCTAATAGCTTCTTGCTACTAGTAGTAAGGCCAGGAGCCCCTAGTAATTAGCGTCCTTTGCTCCTAGTAGCGATGCCAGGAGCCCCTAGTAGCGAGAAGGGTAACAAGGACTCCTCGGACAGTTGCGACAGCCACCCGTCACAGTGAAACAGCCAACCCGTTCCCGTCGGTGCAAAGGCTGAGAGGCCCTGGCTCAGCTCACGAAAACATGGCTCCATGGCCTGACACAGCAGAACGGCTGAAAGGGCTGAAACGGCCCGCTAAACACGAGCGAGCTGCCGATGTCCCGGGCCAATCTTTCTTCATGGAGTCGGGTACAGTTGGTGGATATCTCAGTAAATTAGATGATCCCATTATCTTAGTCAGTGGATATCTAATTAAATACATCTGACAAGGATTGATTTCCTGAGTTCAAACACGGGAACCTGACAAACAAGGCGATGACACATGTAGAACATTACATATGTAGATTTTATGTGATTGATAGATCTGAAAAGAAGGATAGTAGTGGAATGTAGTGGACATTTCGGTCAACCTTTGAAGTGATGTTGCAAGAACTGCATGATCCTTCAGGGTCCTCGAACTGTCAACAGCTCAAGAGGCCAAGATCACTGAAACATACTACCCCAGCTCCAGAAATGCATCGCCAGATACTTCAGGTGAAGCCACGAGTCTCACCTTTCTCAACACCTTTCTCTTCATCTCAACACGCCCACCCACGCGAGGCGTTGTGTCCCAACCGGCCTGACCCGCGACGTGTCTTTTTCGTCGTCTGTTGGGGCGTTGTGCAGTGGGACGGCTTTGACCACTGAGCCAAAGAGGTTGTTGCAAGCACCTTTGGTGTTTGACACCTTCAGCCCGACTCTGTCACAGCAAGGGGTGGTGAATTGTGATATAAATTCATGATGCACATCATCTGTCATAATACCAGGTGAGGCAAACTGACAGGTCGCCGGAAGTGCAGGAGTGGCAAAGAACAACAAAACAAGCACTAGCAATCGCCTGCAAACTTTTTGCACACATCGTACAAAGCGCCTGTACATGTGGGGAAGCCAGCAGCATTTCCACAAAAACTTAGAAAATGAACTGGCTCGAAGACAGTCGTCTTGGCTTGTCCTGCCACAAGCGTGCTTTAGCCGTGGGTGCAGTATCTTCGGCAATCCCGACAGGGAGGCTTGGGAGGCCTGCGGCTACCAAACTTCTGAAACAACACAGAAAAAGAATGAAAAAGCAACGATGTACCTGTGGGGTCAGCACCGGCATCCAGTTCACTGGAGTGGAACTCACCCAGTTTGATCAAGAGAACTGCTGGTCAAGGCGTCAACAGTTTGGGATGAGATGACAATCTAGATTCCATGGTCTAATGGGCATGCTTCGTGTTCAGCGGGGCAACCTCTGGCGCTGGAAAACTCAATTCTGGTATGAGTATGTGGTGAATGGGGACTTGGGAGTTTTGTCTTGAAGGCAACATTGCATATTCTAAACAGAAACAGTGTCTCAAATTTGTTCTCGCCACCCCCTCAGAAACATCTGAGCAATACTGAAGATCTCGGAACCGACATCTACAGCATAACAATATCCTTTTCCGAACACCCAAAGACACCAAAGGCTAGCCAAACCCTGGAACCAACGCAAAACACGTTCTCTTTTGAACCGGGCAACATGTGAAGTGACAAACTGACACTCTCTGAGGGATGGTGAAATCATGTGAAATCTCCAAAACACCGATGCCTTTTGACCGCCCCATCGGCTCTCCGTGGTGGTTCCGCATTTGTTCGCTGCCGGCGCAACGGGGATCCCCTCGGGTCCCGCCGGTCGGGTGGGCGCCGCGGGAACTCAGGCGGCCTGGGTGCGGTCTTGCGTGGTGCACACGTGAGAGCTGCAGGGGTCAAATCAGAGGTCATGATGTCACGACATCAACGACTTGCTGTGACAAGCTTAAACATTCCTTGATCAAACCGAAGATGTCATCTACCTAGGACCAACCGGTAGTTATACATCCTCTCCCGAGAACCTTGGAAACACAAAAAAACATCATCTATAGTTAGAGATAGCTAGAGATTGGTATGCTATTCATCTCATGTTCCAGATAGTTCCAGGTACATCTGAGGACAAAACAAGTGATTGAGGAGGCTCATCACCATACCAGTCGATCCAGCAGGTACCTCGGAGCGAAGCTTGTGACAGAAACAGGCTCGATATGTGCCCGGCTTGGAATTGCTCCTAGTAGCTATTTGTTACTAGTAGTAAGGCCAGTAAGGCCAGGAGCCCCTAGTAGCGTCCGTGCTCCTAGTAGCGATGCCAGGAGCCCCTAGTAGCGTCCTTGCTCCTAGAAAGCCTCCGTCACATCTTCCGGGGAACCAACATGTCTGATGTGTGGCTGTCTCATGTCTCATCTCACTGTTCAAGAACGTTCCAGAAGTGCATCCAACTCAGACTCTAAGATTAACTGAGAAACAACCTACGAGTAACAATTCCTTGTACCCCAACCACTCCCTGCCACACATCGACTGCTGTCTGGGCCCTCGGGCGGCAGTACCGACCCCCAGACGTTTCGTCCCAGAAGAGCTTGAGTTTCAGGTTGCCCCCACGCCCGCAGGCGTCGCAAAGGGCACGCACCTGCGCAAAGGAACCCTGAAGGCATGCGTCATGCGTCGAATCACATATACTGGAGATATTCCTCTCGTGATTCACTAGACGTGTCTTTGGTCCGCGAATCTCCGGAGCATGTTACTGATACACAGCCTTGAAGTACAAACCAATGATCAATCGATTGTGCATGATAGTGGCACCCCCCCCAAATGAGCGGGGTCTGCTGGTCTACTAGTCAGAATCCTTAAGCCAACACCTGGCCCTTGAGACGAAGCGAAGCGAGAAGGCCTTGCCCCAGCGTCTTTCAGGTGCCTCGCGGCTGGGGAATCGGTATGGCCCATGGCATAGTTTTTGTTGGCCCCCCATCTCTGACATGTTAAATCTCAGTGGTCATCATACCCAACCTGGTCATCCTAACTCCAATTTGACACATGGCTGTGTGGGTCATGGCACCGACAGACCGACGGACCGACCGGAAACGACCGACCGACCGGAGTCGGGCCATATGGGTTGTTCTGCCTGAAGGGTCGAACTGATTCGTCTACACGCCCAAAGCAAAGAAGACCCCCAACCATTTCCAAGAGCTGCTCTTCACTTTCAGTGATGTTCACAAGATCTTTTTGCTCAACTCAACCAACCTGAGATCAGAATAGTCGAGGAGGACTCACAGTCAAGTCTATACAATGCCTCAGCCTCTGAAATTGCTATCCACATCTTCGTGAGCAGATATGCTCAGAGCACCAAAGCAGACTGCGTGAATATGGGTTCGAACTCACGGCAAATTGATTGTTTTTCATGTAACCACTATACAAATATGTAATAAATGTGTTGTCCACAAAAAGAACTGATGACTAACACGAAACCTGATGCCTCAATCCTTTGTCCAACACCTCGGTTAGAACAAGTAAACTAAGTAAACAGTGTGTAAGTTCGAAGATTACCTTTAAACGTTCTACCCTCTTGGCTTCAGTGGGACGCAAGAAAGACGTCAGAACTGGGAGTTGAAATGACTTGAAATATGTTGAAATATTCATAACACGAATCAAGCTCTCAAGCAGCCAACAGTTCAACAACTTGAGACCAAACAACAGTCTAACCTGCAATCAATCTTGCATGGCAAACACTGAAGCACTAGCAAAAGGTCATTCTACCTCAACGCAAGCGCAGGACCAAGTGGAGGGTGGACTCCTTTTGGATGTTGT